TGCTCCCCATACCCCTTCCTCAAGGAGACCTTTGAGACTTGGTGGCTGGCGGCCATTTACAGAGCATGTGCCAAGCGGTTCTGTGGGAGAGGGGCCATTATTGTCCCCATTTATGGAGGGGAAACTGAGGCCCAGATTAATGGAGTTACTGACCCTGGTGGCCCACCAGGAATGTGTCAGAACAGGGAGTTGAACCAGCCAGTGCCCAGACTCACAGCCAGGCCTCGAGTGACTGAGGTGGGAAGGGACTTTCAGGATCACCTAGTCAGCCCCTGTATCTGACAGTATCGTCCCCAAAGCAGAAGCAGGCCTAGGATCATTGACACTCCCCCCCCACCCCCCCACCCCCGCCTCCACAGTCCTCAGGGGGGAAGGGAAAGGGACTCCCCAGAAGTGACCCACTAGGGTCCTCTGAGGGCTGGTTCATTCCCATCGGCACTTGTGTGGCTGGGGGTCTGTTCTTGGAATCCAGCTGCAGAGCCTGGTTGGAGGAGCCTCGGGACTCAGTCTCTGCCTCTCGTCCCTGCCTGGTGGGTCATTTCAGGGATTGGAGGCCGGTCTCAGGAAAGCCAGGCTGCTCGGACCGGCGTGGCTGACTGTATCTCCAGGGTGGCCAAGCAGAGGTACTCCCTCGGCACACGGACCACATCAGGGCCTCAGGCGTCCAGGCGGGCAGGAGAGCTGAGGTCTCCCATCCTGCGTCCACAACTCTGGCTCTTGTGAGAGATATGACAGCCGATTGGGTGTGGCTCAGTGGTTGAGCAGCGACCCAGAAACCAAGAGGTCACTGGTTTGATTCCCAGTCAGGACATATGCCTGGGTTGTGGGCTTGATCCCCAGTAGGGGGCGTGCAGGAGGCAGCTGATTGATATTTCTCTCTCATCATTGATGTTTCTCTCTCTCTCTCCCTCTCCCTTCCTCTCTGAAATCAATAAAAGTATGTTTTAAAAAAGAGCTATGACAGTAAGCCAGGAGCCCTTCTGCCTGTGGACTATCACTCAGTCTTTCAACAAACACCCCCAGGCATCTGCCCTTAGCTCCATGACCCTCAAAGTCAGTCCCTGCCCTAGAGGACAACCAGGTGGCGTCTGTGTGGGGGCAGGAGAGCACTGTGGGCACCCAGAGCATTATGGGAGCGTTGCTGGGGGAGCTAGCAGTCAGGAAAGCTTTCCGGAGGAGTCTTGGGGCCAGTGGGGACGAGCAGCAGGGAAGGGTGAGGCAGGTGAGGACTCTCCCTACCGAGAGCTGCGGAGGCCTGGTGAGCACGTGGGGGAGGCAGGGTGGGTGGGATGGACAGCTGAGGTTGGCAGAGCAGCTCATGCCAAGCTCCAGGTGTGTCCATGGGGTCCCGGGGGACTTGCAAAGAATTTGGCCCAAGGCAGGGCCCCTCCGTCTCTCTCCCTGGCATGCAGTGAGTTTGCCCCTGTCCCTGCTAATAGCCTCTGTTCTCCTGTCCCTCCAGGACCCCAGAGCTGGTTGCCATCCCCACTTATGAGGAGGCCATGCACTGCCCACTGGTTGAGGGCCCCCTGGCACCACCTGCGTACCCCACGGAGGAAGACCTGCCGTGCAGCGCCTCCGGGGCTGCCCTGCTTGGGGGCCAGCCCGCCTCGCCTCCGCCCAGCTACGAGAGCGTCATCCCTGCTGCTGCTGTCATCCCTGGAGAGACAGTACCAGCTGGTTCAGACCACAGTGGGAGGAAGGGAAAGGCCCCTCGCAGGCCCTGAGTCCAGAGACAATGCATGAGCTGCTTCTGGTGTCTGGCACGGTGCCTGGCTCACAGCAGGCGCTCCACGGACGCTTGCCTCTCAGTGCTGTTTTATTCATCTGTTGCTGCGTAACAAGAGGCTTAAAGTAAATCCATTTCATTATCTCTCCCGACTCTATGGGCTGCTTGGGCCCAGCTGGTGGTTCTTCTGCCCCATGTGATGTGTGTGGGGCTGCAGTCTCAGGGGCCCGGCTGGGCCAGAGCGCCCAAGAGGGTGCACTCCTCCGGCCGGCGGGTAGAGCTGGCCGTCAGCTGGGAGAGTTTATTGTGCAGCTGAAAAAAGTGGGGCCCTGAGGCAGAGCCAGGACTGGCCAAGGTCACACTGAGTTTATAACCAAAAGGACATGGACTCTGCATTCAGGCCACTGTGCTGGTTTCCCCATGGACCAGTCGAGTGACCTTAGACAAGTGGCCTTTCCTCTTTCTGCCTCAGTGTGCTCATCCATAAAATAGGAATTGAGAATTACAGTGGCATCACCTTTGGCCTCAGCTCAGCTGGGAGGATTGAACCAGATGATAGCGGCTGACATGAAAGCTCACACTAACGCAGCTCACACATAGCTCAGTGCTAATGCATCTAATAGATGCAGATATCTCAGCCCAGTGGCAGGTGTCTATGGTGTATGTAGTGATTGTCAGAGTTGTTCACAGAGGTAAGCCCCACCCCCTCCATCAGAGGCAAATTCAGCTGCTGCTCCCATATCTCCTGTGACAGGGAGTCGGTTACCTCCCCTCTCTTTCTGTCCAGCTACAGCATTCATCCCTACATCTCTGTACCACCCCATTCACAGACAAGAAGGCCAGCTTAGAGAGGTTAAGTAACCTTTCCAGGGTCACACAGCAAGTAGGGACTCCGAGTCCTGGGGCTCAGCTGCATATTCACTGAGGGCAGACTGTATGCTGGGCCGCCCTCTGCCCTGGTTTTACATCCTCAAGCTTTGCTCTGCTGCAGGTGGTGTTCCCATTTAACAGGCCTGGAAACTGAGCCTTAGGGAGGTAAAATCACAGAGAATAAAGGCAGAGCCAGACCTTGAGCTGCTCTCTCTCTCTCTCTCTCTCCCCTCCCCCCTCTTTCTCTCTCTCTTACACACACACACACACACACACCCCATATGCATCCCAAGGATATGGGTGGGGATTTATTGCTCTCTCTGAAATTCCTAAAGGGTTAATAGGATCCCAGCTGGGAAGCAGAGCCCAGCCTCCCTCCTACCCCAAAGTGAGGCCTCTCCCCCAGGCAGGTGAGTTAATGAGTTGCAGGTTGGCCAGGAGGCCCCTTTGCCTGGTGGGAGCTGGAAGGCGGAGGGCGGGGTGGGCTGGAAGACTGGAAAGCCCTTTTCTGCTTTTCTCTCTGTACCAACTCATCTGCGAGAGGCCCCAGCAGGGGCAGTGACTTGCTCAAGGTCACCAGCACCTTGGAGGGTGAGTCAGAGCCATGGAGCCAGTCTCCTGTCAGGCAAGCCACCCGACCCTTCTGAGCTGCAGTGGCCTCGCTGTGAACTGGGGACCCTTGTGCTCCCTGGCAGGGCGTGGGGTGGAGAAGCCCTGTGAGGCCGCGTCTGCCATTCCACAGCCCCCAGTAGGCACCAGTTTGCTTCCTGGTTTCTCTCCTCCTGGGCCCATCTTCACCACTCCTGTTGGCGTCTTCACCACTCCTGTTGGCGTCTTCACCACTCAGAGGCCACATCTGGTGCCTGCCACAAGGCCTGGGATGTCAGGGACCCTCAGAGCTTAGGCCTGTCCCCCACCTTCCCTCAGCTTGCCCTTCGGGTTGGTGGGTGACCCTGACCCCTGCAGCTCTCCACCCCAAATCAGTCAGAAATTTCCCAGCTGTAAATTTCCACACCACCCGCCTCCCCCCCAGCAACTAATTACTTCCAAAAATTGTTCTCTGTAGCCTTGTCCCCCTAAGTTTCTGCCAGAGCCTGGCAGTCGCCCCTCACTACTGCCATCTCTTCTTGCTTCTGACCTGATCTCAAAACCAGAGGATCGTTGTAAAATCAAAGTCTGATCTGTCAGTCCACTGCACACCCCGTTTAGAGGCGCTCTGTTGACTCCTGAGAAAGATGTTGGAGACCTTCGCATGACCCCAGAAGGTTCCAGCCTGTGCTTCCTCTCTAGCATCCCTCTCCCCTGCAACTGACGCCCATCCCTCCATTCCCAAATACGAATCCAGAGCCCACCCTGTCCCAGCCCCCGAGGATACTACAGTGAACAAAGTCCCCATCTGGGCACTCGAGTTCTAGGTGAGGGGAGACAGACAAGAAACAAATAAGTGATGTATATAGTATGAATGATGGCAATGAGTTCTATAGAGAACAGGGCAGTTGGGGAGGACAGGGAGCACGTGGGGAGCTGGTGCTATCACCCCAGGAAAGACCTCACTGGAAAGCTGACATTTGGATAAAGGCTTGAAGCAGGTGAGGGAGGGAGCCGTCACAGATCTGGAGGAAGAGCATTGCAGGCAGCAGGGACAGCAAGCGCCGTTTACCCTTCCTAGGGTGCCTGTGCCTTCCATGGAGAGCATGGAGCCAGAGTGGCTGGAGGGAGGGAGAGGGGAGGCATGGCAGAAGATGGGCTGGGCGACATGGGCCAACTGTCTAAGCTCTTCTAGGCCATTTGAGGTCTTTGGCTTCACACTGGTAAGACAAAAAGTCATTCCAGGGTTCTCTGAGCAGGAGTGACAAGGTCTGACCTGGCATTCTGATTGGCAGGAGATTTCAGGGGGCATGGGTAAGAGCAGAGAGCACTTAGGGGGACAGAAATGCGGGGGCTCAGACCAGGAGATGAGCAGTAGTGGGGGGAGAGAAGTGATTGGATTCTTATAAGTTGGAGGTAGAGCCAACAGGATGTAGGTGTGAGAGGGGAGGTGAGGCTGTAGCCAGGATATGTAGGCACTGGCCCGGAGAACAGGAGAAGGATGGAGTTGACCTGGGAGGAGTAGGTCTGGGGAGGGAGGCGAGGAGCCTTCAGTGTAGGGCAAGTGTGTGCATGGCATTTAGAGTTGTATCTCCAGCCCTGTCAGCGCTTACTTGCCCTGGGCTTTTGCACATGCCGCTCTCTGTCTGAACTGCTTTTATTGCCCTGACAGAACTGCAGCTGACTCCTCAAGGATCCCTTGTGTGACTCTCCCCCTTCATTCCTCACCCCAACCTCCAGTCTCTCTCCCTCCGCCCCCCCCCCCTTGGTGCACATGGTGGACCTCAAGCGTATCTCAGAGCCCTTACCATATTTTATCCCAGAAGGAAGGACAAGTGCCATCACTTGCTGAAACCCCGCGTGTGTCAGAGTGCCTCATACCTGAGCGTCCTGCACAGAGCAGGTGCTCAACAAGAGACTGAGGGGGCTGGTTTGAATCCTGGCTCTACTATTGACAGGTTCTGAGACCTTGAGACGCTCACCTTTCCTCCATGAACCGCAGCATCCGCATCTGTCAATGGGTGTGGTCTTTCCCCTCCCTGCTTCTGAGGATATTGTGAGGATCTTAAATTCCTACAGAAAGGAAACAGTGGTTAGCGCGCCCCCTGCTGGAAGAGGACAGACTCCTCAACCTCTCCTCCCCCACGTTGCAGGGGAGGGCGGTGAAGGTCAGAGGCCACAGGGAGGGGAATGGGAACCAGGGGTAGGTAACCCAACGCTGTCACAGCACCATGCACACCTGTTTGTCACCATGTGCCTCTCACATCGGCTCTGTGGAAGGGGTTAGATTAGACCATTTAGCTGAGCGCCTACTTGGCCCAGAGCTCCTTACTCCTCACATTTAAATTTTTTTTAAAGAGGAGATAAGAAGGAGAAAGGAGGCGGGGTCGTAGAGAGGAAAGGAAAGGGGAGCGGAGGAGAGTGCTCTGGTGACGGGGAGGCCTCTCTGGAATGGTTAAGGACCAGATCCATCTACATTGGGGCTGCGGGTGTGGGTTCCGGTCTCTGCTCAGCCACAAACCCAGTTTGGGGAGATCTTGGCCAGTCCCTTCTCCTCCCCGGCCTCAGTTTCCTCGCCTGTGAAACGGGCATAATAACTCCTCTCCGGCTTCCCTCTCCAGGGCGGGTGGAAGGACAGGGGGCGTGAGCCAAAGGGTGTGAAAGCTCCTTGCCGGGAGCATGCTACACCGCCACAAGGGGGCGCGAGAGGTTCCTGCTGGACCGGGACCACAGAGATGCTGTTCCCATCGCCCCTGAAGCCAGGGCCAGAGAGCGCAGGCTGGGCCCCTCTGGACCTGGGGTGCTCGCTGCTTCCCTTCTCCGGTCTTCTCTGTGAGATCATGATAACAGTGTTTCTTAGGTGGGTCCTGCCCTACTGATAAGCACACATTTTCTCCTCCATTAGGTCCTGCACTCAGGTGACAAAACTAAAGCCAAGCCAGGCCAGTGTGGCTCAGTGGCTGAGCACTGGCCCATGAACCAGGAGGTCACTGGTTCGATTCCAGTCAGGACACATGCCTGGGTTGCAGACTCAATCCCCAGTATGGGGCATGCAGGAGACAGCCGATCAATGATGTTTCTATCTCTCTATTCCTCTCCCTTCCTCTCTCTCTAAAAATCAATAAAAACAGATATTTAAAAAACTAAAGCCAAGAGTGGAGCCACCATCTCGGGCAATCAGACCTGGACATGACCTGGTGGATCTCAGCCCTTCTCGGAGACCCTCAGCAGCCTTTCCCGGGAGGCTCTCCTGAGCTCTGCGACAGGGGCCTGCTCTGCAAACTGCAGGGCGCACACCCGCTGGGATCTCAGAGCAGATGAAGGAGAAACCGCTGCTGGGAAAGGTGTGCGTGGGCAGAACAGCAGGCAGAGGGGCTGGTGTGAGTGTAGGTACGGCGTCTGGAAGCACAGCTCTTATTGGGGAGAAGGGGGACGGTGATGACAACAAGTAGAAAATCTCCTACCTACTAAGCCAGGACGCCAAATAGAAGCAAGTATCCCACATTAGCAATCACACTGTACAAACGACAAGGTAACGTTTCCTTTTAGAGACACTGACAGTCCTCATTTTCCTACAATCCTGTAAGGGAATTTGGTTTTTCCCAGCAGCCTCTCTCCAAACTGGAATCCCACCATTACAATGTCCTTCTTAGAACTAAGGCATCTTCCTAGATTAGAAGGCAAGGGAATTGTTGTCAGTCATTCACACCCTACAAGGGCATCCAGGCACCTGAGCCTTTCTGGGAGCCGCTCACAGAGGAATCCAGGGAGGCCAGGCTAGCAGACAGCTCTGTCCTGGGAGATGCTGTAATTAGCCCCATTTTACAGAGGAGGAAAACTGAGGCACAGGGAAGTAACTTGATCAAAGTCACACTTCCCCAGGGTAGAGGACCTAGAACCCAAGCCCAGGCAATGTACCTGCCCCCGGAGCCCGAACGTTTAGCCCTCCTGCTACAGTTAGGGAGTATCCCAGGGTGGCTAGGGGCATGGCCTCTGGATTCGAATCCCGGCTGCTGTGCCTTTTCTAGCTGTGCCACCCTGGCAATGACTTGTCTGTGCACCGGTGTCCTCATAAAGTCTGTGCCTCACGGGGTTCCCCTTCAGTGGGTACTATGTAACATGGTTAGGACCGTGCCACGCATGCAGCCACCATCTGTAAATATGGGCCACTGTTCCTGACCTCAGAGGGGCACATGACCTTGAAGAGTCCAGAATGCCTCCTGATTCTAAAATGCCAGCCTGTGGGATCCTGGAACCTCCCAGTGGCATTCTGATGTGTTCGGGCTGCGCACTGGACCCGCCTTCCCAGGACTGGACGGTGTGGGCCGCCTGTCCACCCAGCTCAGCCCTACGCAGGCAAATGAGGTGATGTCAAAGCCCTGGCCGGGGCCCAGCTCCTGGAACCACCCCTCTCCCTCCCGGCTTCTCCCTCACTCGGAGCCACACACACACTCCTGCTGGGCCCAGAGGGAAGGTGAAGGAGTGAAGGTGGTGGTGGTGCCGGGCCCATTGAAGCGTAACTGTCGCCTGGAGAACTGTGGCCCGGGAGCTGCGGCGGAACCTGAGGGACCTGCCCCCTCTGCAGCCCTAAGTCCGGGTTTGCAGTGATCCCGGAGCCTCATCCCTCCGGGTGTGAGGAGCGTGGGTGTCCACGCAGGATCGCGGGCACCCCTCGGCGGGCAGCGAACAGACCGCGGCCTAGCAGGGCGGCCATGGCAGACGAGAAGACCTTCCGCATCGGCTTCATTGTGCTGGGCCTCTTCCTGCTGGCCCTGGGCACGTTCCTCATGAGCCACGACCGGCCCCAGGTCTACGGCACCTTCTACGCCATGGGCAGCGTCATGGTGATCGGGGGCGTCATCTGGAGCATGTGCCAGTGCTACCCCAAGGTAGGCGGTGGTGGGGGCAGGTCAGCTGGGGGCCAGAATGCCCATCTTTCAATCTTCTTTTCATACGCCCGCTGTGCACTCCCTTTCTCTCCACTCACCCATCATCTGTCTGTCCATCCATCCGTCTCTGATCATAAGGATTGATCAGAAGCCCCCCTGGATCTGGAGCCCTGACCTAGGCCCATGAGGAGACACAGTGAAACCCAACACACAGTCATCCATGTGCTTGGAACCAAAGTCAATGAGCGATTGCCACCTGCCAGGCAGTCCTGCATTCACGGTGCAGCGCGGGCCTCCTGGGAGCCTTCTGTCCCTCTGTAGTTCCGTTTTACAGTGCAGCCCAAGGCTCGGAAAGGTGAGGTCCCACCGCTCCCAAGTGTCACACTTTGGAGCTCAGATGTGTGTGACTTAAGGCTACCGCTGCATCCCAGGGCTGCTGAGAGCCCTGGGGGTCCGGAATAACCTGATGCCATGGGGTGGTTAGCGCTCTGTCCTTTAGTCACAGTGCCCTCCCAGCCTTGTGAGTGACTTAGCGATGGGGAGGGCATGGGTGTGGGAGTCTGGGTTCTAGTTCCAGCTCTGTCCGAAACTCTCTGTGTGACCTTTGTCATTTTCTTACATTTGCAGAATGGAGCTCCAAACTCCTATTCCTCCCAGTTCAGAGAGTTATTCTGAACAGAGAAGAGATGGGACATGGGAACGTTTTATAAACTGTAGGGCATTCTATTTAGGCGAACAGCCGCCACCCTTACTGTTATCGTTCCTCCCAACAGCCCTGTAGGGTGAGCATGTCAGGAGTTGTAAGCCTTTAGTGCTCAGAGAGGTTGTGTGGCTTTTCCGAGGTCACACAGCTGGTCAGACAGACCCAAGGAGACAAGAAGAGGAGCATGGATTCTAACTTGCTCTGCCTCTAACTGCTTGGGAGACTTTGGTCAAGTCCCTTCCCTCTGTGAGCCTCAGCTTCTTCATTTGTACAATACATGAGTCAGGAATGGGGGTGGGGAAGGGGGTGCATCTAAGGGCCCTGCTGGTCCAGGCATCTAGGGCTCTAGGCCCCAGGCAGCCCCCACCACCTGCAGTCTCCTCCTCACCTCCCACTTGGGTGGCTGTGCTGGGGGGTGTCCAGGGGAGGAGGCAGGAGGGAGGAGGCTCCTGGGGGACTGGGCCTGGCTCTCCCCAGCCCTGCTCCCTCCATGGGCCAGCCCCAGGCTGTCAGAATGTTTGGTGCTGGGGCGGTCCTGGCTGGTTTGCAGTCATTTTCTCAGCAGTTTACAGTCAACTCGCCTTTGTCTGTGCAATGCCCTGAGAACAGGTCACCGGGAGAAGAGGGACTTGGGGCCCGAGCCACCTCCATAACCAGCTCCATCCTCCTGCTCTCCCCATGATGAGCTGGACCCTGGGGACAGCTGGGGTGCAGAGGGTAGTGTCCTTGCTGCCCTCTCCCCCTTTACCAGAGGTGGCTCTGGGGTGGTGGGCAGTGACTGGTGGCAGCGGATGAGGGAGGGGGAGAGGGACTATTGCTGTGTATTAATGAGTAACTGTTGATAGGTCCACGTGTTCCTTGCTGTGGAGGCAGCAGTGTGGGGTGGAAACATGGTTTAGTGTCCAACAGGCCCAGATTCAAATCCCTCCTCCCTCCCGCCCCACTTCTGTGACCTTGTCAGAGGGAGTCTCCCTGCCTCCCGAGCCAAGCGGGAGGGACCAGTGGGTCCTGTATGTGGGGGACCCAGCATCACACCTGCCACAGAGCTGGTTCCATGCTTTATTCTCAGGATTGGTGTGTGTGGCCTTGGGCGGTCTCTGTGTGTGTGCAGGTGTGGGTTTGTGTGGGTGTTGGATCCGGCACATGAAGGGAGGGAGGGAGGGAAGTGTGATGTAAACCAGACAGGCACGCTAGGGGGGAGGGGGACTGTCTCCAACACTGGCTCCTAGGTGCCTGAGCTGTCAAAACCCTCAACCAATGCTGGTGCCCATCCTCCCCTCAGGATCCTCCCTTGCCTGATAAATGGGCATTTCTAGATTAAAAGAAATATAAATATAAGGGACTGTGCTACCCCAATTAAGATATGGGGGTTAGAGGTAGCCAATACCAGCATGAATTAAGCTGTCCCTCTCTGTGAGGGGCTGGGGGACTCACAGGGAAGACAGTTTTCTGCCTGATGGGGAGGGAGTGGGCTTCCCAGAGAAGATGAGCTGGGCTTTGTGGGCTGAGTAGAAGTTCACCAGGCAGAGAAGATGGGAAAGACATTCCAGGCAGAAGGAACAACGTGATCAAAGACAGGAGGAGAAAGAGCAAGGCGTGGGGGTTAGGGGGCAGCATGGCTACAGGGGGTGGGGTGGGTGATAGAGGAAGGCAAGGAGAGGGAATGGGGCTCAGCTCTGCAGGGCCCGTGATGCCACGCTAAGGAATGCAGACCTTGCCCTTCAGTTGATGGGACAAGGGAGGGCCGGGATCAGCTTTGTAGTTGAGAAAGTTATCAGGCCGACATGGGGCGGAGGAAGGTCCAGGGACAGCCAGACCAATGGGGAGGCTCCTTCTCTGGCCCAGGTGAGAGATGATGATCTCCTGGACCCAGGCAGGGTTTGAACCCAAGACTAGGAACCAAGAAGACATTTCTACTTCATCAAATGCATATAGTACCCGCTGTGCTGGACATGGCGCTGGACTTCCATCGAGGTTGTCTCACTGAATTTCTCAGCCGGGCTTGAGAGAGGAGGAGAAATCAGGGAGAGTCTAGGTGCGTCAGTGTTAGCTGAGATGGGGCAGGGAGCTGAGAAAAGGGGGGGATTGGCAGGAAATGCAGTGCCTCTTCCTGTCCACCTTCTGCCTGTGCCCATGGGTCCCCCCTCCCTACTCCTCCCTGTTCAGCTGGAGCCCAGGCCCAGGCCCCGATGGGTGGTTGATAGATCTGTCCTCTCCATGCGCCTCCCTCCTTCCCTCTGCTCCCTCCTTTCGGGGATGGCTCTGCCTAAACACAGATCTGTCTGCACTCTCGGCTGAGAATGCCTCCCGGGCTTTCATTGGTTCTGGATACAGACTGAACTCCTTCATCTACTGTTCTGGGCTTTTCATGGTCTGATCTCCCCTTCCTACTCCCTAGCTTCAGCTCTGCGTGTCCCCCTCTCTTAAAAGGACTTGTGTTCTAAGATACTCCAGTCTTTCCCCTCCTTCAGGCTTTTCACAATGATGATGGTGATGATGATGGTGATGGTGATGGTGATGGTGATGGTGATAATGATGGTGATGGTGGTGATGATGATGGTAATGATGATGGTGATGATATGATGATGATGATGATTATGATGATGGAAGTGATGATGGTAAGTGTGATGGTGATGATGATGGTGATGATGATGGTGATGGTATGATGATGATAGTGATAATCTGATGATGATGTTGATGGAGGTGATGATGGTGATGGTGGTGATGATGATGGTGATGGTGATGGTGATGGTGATAGTGATAATGATGGTGATGGGATGATGATGATGATGATGATGTTAATGGAAGTCATGATGGTAATGGTGATGGTTATAATGATAATGGTGATGGTGATGATGGTGGTGACGATGATGATGGTAATTACGATAAGGAGGAAGATGGTGACTGGGTCATGAGATATTGAGGCAGAGGAAGTGACAGCTTCTTCAGAGTACAGAGCCAGCTGCCAGATATGGACCAAGTGCCAGGCACATTCTGAGCACTGGATGAGGACCTGATAAATGACAAGATGTGAGCAACTCTAGGGCAGGGACGTTTGTCCCATTCACTCCCTGCTGACCCCTCGGGCCTACAAGAGCGCTTGGCACACAGCAGGTGCTCAATGCTTGTTTGTTGGGTGAATGTAGAGCCAGGTGGGAGCAGGAGCCCAGGGTTCCATCCACCCACTGGTGCTGGCCCTGAGCTGGCCCCTCTCCTGTGAAAAGGGGAAGCCCTCCCTGGTGGGCCTCTCTCCCCGGGCGTGTGGGGAAGTTAGGCCGTGCTCTGGGGGGAGCAGCGGCCAAGGGCATGGATGGGCAGCTGCAGAGAAGCTGTCTCCCCTTTGCCCTGCAGATAGCCTTTGTCCCTGCTGACTCTGAATTCCAAGGTGTCCTGTCCCCAAAGCCGCTGGGCTTGCTGGAGAACGGACTCACTGCCGAGATGAAGAGGTAGGTGCTGGGCCCTCTGTGCCTGGGAGTGGGGAGGAGGGAGGAGCAGTGAGCAAGTGTCCCCTTAGGGAGGAGAGTGAGGGAGTGGGGTGGAGGGTGGACAGTGTCTCCTCCCCTGGCTCCAGGCCTTCCCACTCTACTAAGAGCAGACTTTTAGAAATCATGGATTGTTCTGAACTCTCAATTCTGTGAGGCAAGCATTATCATTCTGATGAGGAAACAGAGGGTCAGGACTTTATCCTGTCTTTCAATGAACTAGTGGCAGACCAAAATCAAAGTCAGGTTTGACCCTAAGTCCCAAAGAGCTGTGACCACGACTACAGTAAACAAGGGGCATGAGGATGGCCCCGGCACAGCCCAGGGCTCTGCCACTGTCCGCCGTGTGACTTTGGGAAAGTGATATGCCTCTCTTTGCCCCTCTGTAAAATGGGGATATTAATGGTACCTTCTTCCAGGGGGTTCCGTGAGATAATAATATAAGCAAAGTGCTAAGAACAGAACTTGGTGCATGGTAGGCCCTTGGTAAGTGTTTGTCATCATTAGTAAGAAGAGTCTCCCTTGCATCACAGGTGACTCAGACATGCTGCCCCCACCTCCTCCTTCAGTCCTCACAGGAACCCTGTGATGGGGAGCGGAGGGGTGTCCAGCCTTTTATACAGACGTGGAAACTGAGGCTCAAGAAGTGTAAGCACAAGCCTCAAACCCACAGGCAGTCGGTGACAGATCACACCAGCCCTGCTTTTGTCTCTGAAGGCAGCAAGCCGTGGCTCACCAGGACATGGCAGGGAGCCCATCAGCCTGGGAGAGACGGGGGACCGGCCGCCCCTTCCGGCCCCCGGAGGCTGGAACTCCGTGCTCTGGAGTCGTGGTGCAGATCCAGGGTCCGGCTGGGCTCTTGAACGCTCCCTGCTTTGCTGGGGGAAGGAAGTCCAGGTGGCATTTTATGTTCTGACACAGAGCCACCAAATGTTCTGGGGAATGAGATGACAGACCCTGGGTGGGCATAGGGCCAGCCTCAGGACCGGTCGCATGGGGAGAGCAGCTGTGACAGAGCCCAGGCTCGTGCTGCCCTGAGTTCCGGGCTCCTTCCCATCCCTTCTCAGCTGTGGGACCCTGGCAAGGGACCTTGTCTGTGCGTTTCACTGTCTGGAGGGACTGTAGGGAGCAGCAGGAAACGTGATGTCTGAGCCCCAGCACCAAGCCCGCTAGTCTCCGTGCCTCAGTTTCCCTCAGTACCTCCCAGAGTTAGGGAGAGGATCGGATGAGCTGCCTGACAGAGCCCGGCAGGCAGAGAGCAGCTAAGAGCTGCTGCTATGTCCTCATTGGAAAAACGAGAATGATTATTCTGCTTAAAGGTGTTCAGAATAATCATCCTCATTTTTCCAGCGAGGACACAGCATAGCCTGTTGAACCCAGTCACCTCAGTCCACGGGACTGGTCTTCCTTTTGCGGTTGCTCCTGGGGGCTAACTTCGGAGACTCGGAGTGAAAGGAGCCCTGGGCTGAGGGGCCGAGCTCTGCCACCACCCTGCCGTGCTGGGCCTCGGGCTCCCCATCCATGCACGAGGCACATGATGGCCCCGAGGGCCTCTTGGAGATCAGGGAGGACCAGGTGGCCAGAGCAGGGGGCCAGGGGACAGCTCTGATGTCTGCCGAATGAATCCTTGCCCACCTGCCTGTTCTCTCTCCTCCCGTCTGCCGTGCCCCCAACTAGCCCCCAGCCCCCCTACGTCAGGCTGTGGGAGGAAGCCGCCTATGACCAGAGCCTGCCCGACTTCAGCCACTTCCGGATGAAGGTCCTGGGCTACAGCGAGGATCCCCGCCCCCTGCTGGCCCCTGAGCTGGGGCGGCAGCAGCTGGAAGCTGGTGACAGAGGGGAAGGTGGCCCCCGTGATGCTCAGGCCTGGATGGAGGCTGCTGTGGTCGTCCACAGGGGCTCGGATGAGGACGAGGGAGAAAGAAACCCAGCTCAGAGCAGTCCCCGGTGAGTGTGCAGAGTGCAGGAGTGTGGATGCTGCCCACTTCCAGGGTGAGGAGGGGATGTGGGCCATGAGGGGTGGTTGGGTACATATGGGAGTCGAGAGGGCAGTGGGGGTGGGGCACCCAGAGGACGGCAGGTGTAGCAGATGCATGAATCTGGGCTTAGACTGGCCTGGGTTCAAATCATAGCAGTACTGCTGTATAAACTTGGCAAGTTTCTCACCCTCCCAAGCCTCAGTTTCCCCACATGAGAATAATCCCTCCCACCTCTGAGGGGCGTTGTGGAGATGGAACAGTGCACTTAAGGGTCAGCATACCATAGACCTCTGCACTGCCTGAATGCTTGCCCTGTGTGGCGGGGGGCATGGAGCTGGAGGACCTGAGTTCAAATCCAGACCCTGCCCCTGATATGCGCGTGACCTCGGGCAGGTCACTCCCCACCCCACCCCGCCCCTGGGTGTTTATGAATTGGGTTCCTTATTCATCCATATATTTACTCCTCCTACCACTGTTCCTGGGCACCTGCTCCCTGCCAGGCCTGATGGCCCCCACCCTGCAGGAGCTCTTGGCCAATGGGGGAGGCAGGTGAGGGAGCAGAGGGTGACACCTAGTGAGCTGGGGCTGAGGGCCCAGAGGAGGGCCCTGAGTGACTGGGGAAGTGGAGGAATGGCCTGGTTTGGATGACATGATGATGGCTTATTTCTTGAGCACCTACTAGGTGCCAGGCATTGTGCAAAGTGCTTTGAACACACGACCTGCTGTAAACCTCAGAGACTCCAGAGGGGTGAATACTCTTATTTCCTCCACCTTACAGGGGAGGAAACTGAGGCCCAACCAGGTGGGCTCACCTGCCCTGGCTTGCAGCCAGTGGCGGAGGTTTCGACACAGGCAATCTGACTCAAGCTACCCTTGCTCTCTCTGGCTTTGTCCCTGCAGCGTCCCAGTCTCTCCCCAGGGTCCTGCACCTTTGGCTTCCTTCCAAGATGAAATGGATGTGGGCTCCAGTGAGGGCGGCAGCCCCAACCCGTCTCCGCCTGAGGGGGAGGAGCCTGGCCCCCCGCCAGGGGAGCCCTGGGCCTGCAGGTGCCAGCTGGACCGCTTCCATGACTTCGCTCTGATCGATGCCCCCGTGTCGGAGGACACACCGCCAGCGGGACAGTGGCGGGACACAGCCCTCCCCAGCTATTGGCAGCGGTCCCCGAGGACGAAGGAGGAGGACGAGGCTTCCGACTCAGGTGCAGAGGAGCCGGAGCAGGAGGAGGAGGACTTGTACTATGGGCTGCCGGACAGCCCTGGGGACCCCCTCCCGGACAAGGAACTGGGCTTTGAGCCTGATGCCCAGGGCTTAGATGGAACTGCCCCTGGGTGCTAGCCTGGCACAGCCACTAGCCCGGTGTGACTTCACAGGGCCTCAATTTCCCTCTCTGCAAAAGGGGGTTGTCTGGAGGTTCAGATGAGACAGTGGGTCCTGCAGCACCTGGAGGACTGTAAAGGAGCACGCAGGGAAGGGGCGATGGTTTTCGATGGATCATGGCCACTCCGTTGTTATTTTGGGGGGTTAGAGCTTTGAAGGTGAATGTGATTCACTTAGACAATCGGCAGCAGCTGGGGCCTCGGAGCCTTCTCTGCCCCGAGAGCTGCCTCTGAACAGGCGCCCCCTTGGGGTTACGCTGGCTCTCCCATCCCTCGTGAAGGCCTCTCAGTGTGCCTGTTCCTGCTGAGTCTTTAGTCTGTCTGGTATGCCGCGTGATCCGCCTTCACCCAGGGCTAACCGCGTGTGCCCCCACATCCCTCCTGTGGCTCCTGTTTTATGGGATCCAAAACCTTCCATGGCTGACCTCTGCTGACCTCCCAACTTACTCCCCCCCAGCCCATGCCACACCCTCTGCTCCTCAACCCCAAGGCCGTGTCCTACCACACACACACACACACACACACACACACACACACACACGTGCACACATGTGCACTGCTACCCACGCCCTTCTCTGCCACCTCTTTGCCAGGAAGCCCTTTGATCCCTCGTCTGCCTAGCAAACTTGTGCTCATCCTTCAAACCCTCGCACAGATATCCCTCCTCTGAAAGCCTTTCCTGCTGTCACCGCCTCTGGGGACAGCGTAGTCCTGGCTCCTTTGCGCTGCCTTCAGGTCTTGTACGCTCATCACTGGACCATGGCTGCTCGAGGCCAGTGCCCTTGCTTGACTCACATGGTACCTCCTGTGCCGAGTCAGTGCTCACTGAGGGGTAGGAACTGACCAGAGCCCAGGAAGCTTTGCAGAGAACATCCTCTCCTCGACTTCCCTAACTCTTAGACTCCCCGCCCCTTTACTCTCCGGCATTCAAACTTCCAAATGGCCTGCATAGAAGTCACAGAGCCAGGCAAAAAGCCCCCTGAGTAACCCACGCCCTGCAGAATACATATGCATCGGTTTAGGACTGTGGGTTGGAATGAAACTTCCTGGCTCAATTCAATTTGATTCAGGTGGCATTTACTGAGCATCTACTACGTGCCAGACACTAAGCCAGGATCTTTAGGGAGAAAGAGACATGAACTGATAGCAGTTCTTGCCCTCAAAGGACTCACAGTCTAGTGAGCTTGGTTCTTGTAAGTTAGGGACAGAGTGCAGAGCAGGGGCCGAGGGGGGAGCAGAGAAATTAAAACATTGGCACAGCAGAGTGACCTGGGGCCAGCGAGTGTGCGGCAAGTAGCTCAGCCTGCTTCAGCGGCCCCTGAAGATGCCACTGTTTTATAGCAGCAGCATGGCGGTAGGGCAGAGCAATGCTATTAGCACTCTGAGCTCGGCCATGTCCCCCAGAGTCCCCGCACAGGGACCCTGAGATGCTTCAGAGGAAGGGGCAGTGGCACTACCTCAAACCAGGCCCACGGTCTTAGAGCTTGCACTCGGGCCTCCTGGGCCGGGGAGACCTCCTCCTGGGTTGGGCCTCTGTGTCAGGGCTGGGGGACCCACAGTGGGAAAGGGATGCCCTCTGTGCTGGGTCAGAAGGGCACAGCACCTTCTACCCCCCAGTATCTCCCCCTTCTTTCTGGATCACTGTACCTCCAGTATAAAAGCCTGGGCAGTGAAAGGCATATTGGGCACATCCCTGTGCCATAGCGGGTGTTGCCAGCCATGACCTGGGCCGGCTGGGCGAGGTGGAGTGTGTTTCTGTGCTCTGTTTACTACGGTGGGGAGGGTGACCTGCACCAGCATGGATGGCTAAATAAAACTGTTTGCAACATTTAAAAGGGTCACTTTCATTCACCTGCACATTCTTTTATGTAAAACCACCCGTTCCCCTCTGGCCAGGATAAATGAGGCATCATGCCTGGCGGGCACCGTGGGCGCCCTCTGGAAAGTGCACACCAAACACAGCGGGGTGGCCATGTGGGACGCTGTGTGCTGTGGAACTCGCGTGGCCCGTGTCCCTGAGTCACCATGGGGGGCATTCGCCAGGCCTTACCAGAGAGCCAAGAGCCTCTCCTGCGAGGCGACCAGCAGACAGACACCAACCCCATCCTGGGAAGTGGCGCTGAGGGCGTGGGGCAGTGGAGAGACATGGCAAGACTTGGGTTTGGGCTGCAGTCCAGGCTCCCCCACCACCTTGCTGTGCGATGGGGAGGCACCATGCCTGGTCTGCCCAGGACAGTCCTGTGATGCCCGCGTTGTTATTAGCGGGGCCCCCTCACTCTTACCCCATCTGGATCCGCTCCATCTTCGCCCGACTCTGTGACTTCCGGCAAGTCGGCCGCCTTTGTGGGCCGCCGGTTCCTCATGTGCACAGAGCGGGCGTGGGCCCTGTCTTTGACCTTGGCACGGGTTCGGCGGTAGGGGTGTCTGACGGAACCCATCTGCCAATGCCTGCAGGAGCCCACCACGAGCTCTCCTGTGGCTCATAGTTGGGTCGAGACACACTGCAGTGAGGACACCCCGTGGGGGCCTCTCTGTGGGAGGGTGTGAGGAAGGACGTGTGGGATTTGGGCTGGTGGGGGTGGTCGGGGGTGTGAGGAAGTGGGGCTCTGCTCCGGACCGGGTACCATCGGGAAGCAGGGCTAGTTCTGTGGTGCGGCACCTGATGCATCTCCTCTCGAAGGGGAGGACCAGCCCGAGCCGAAGCTGTAAGTGGCGTGGGAGCAGCGGCTCCTCCAGCCAGGACCGGGGATGTGCGGCCACTGCTGTGGCTGTGGGAGGCCTGGCAGGCAGACGTTCATGCTGCCTGTGCTGGGCCGCAGCTGCCGAGGGGCCTTGAGCATCACGGTCCCAGAGTGGCCTTGTCTGAAGCTGACGTTCTGTGAACTTGCTCACGGTCAGCAGAGCAGCAAGGCCTCTCCGAGGGCCGAGGGCCGACTCCTGGCGGCCAGGCTGCTCCTCCGGCCTCTCTGCTGGGCGGGTCCTCCTCTGGGCGGCTGGTGGCTGTGAGGAGGCGGGGAGTTAACTGTGCTGTGCATTTTAATTTGAAAAGAAGGGTCGGCAGCTTTTGAAAGCTTGAAGAGCAGGGTTGCAGGGGGCTCTGCTCCGCTCTCCTCTGACCGTCTCAAGCTCTGAGGCCCATGTATTCCGCCTGAGATCCCACCCCTGTGCCTGCTCCCTTGGCCTTGCTGCCTTCCAGTCCCTCTAGCTGGCGGATTAATAGGGGGTGAGGGGGTGGGGGAAGGGGAGGTCTTCCTGCAGGTCCCCAGGAGGGCGGGGCGCAGCAGGGCTGGAGGGGCACTCGCAGTGAACCCCGGATTCCAGCTTTCAGCCCCAGGCTCCAGGTCTGTGTACCATGGCAGGAATTCCTGCTCTCTTCACCCTCCGGTGAGGTCAGAGGGACTTTGGAAGTTTCCACTCTGGGAGGAAGAGGCCCTGGAGACACGGAGGGGTGGCCCCTGCCCTTACCTGGCAGGAGAGTGGTCCTGGGGCGGGAGCTTGGGTTCCCGCCGACTGCTTGCCGTGACCTTGGGCATGCCACAGCCCTTCTGGACCTGTCCCTGTCCCTGTCCCTGTCCCCTGCGATTAGGTGGAGGCGGACGAGGTTCCACTTCTCCTCCCGGCTGAAGCACGATGCCAGGCAGCCCGGGCGACAGGACGGAGCTCTAGGTTTCTGTAAAAGGAGGACTTGGTAACACTGAGAGCTGCCCAAAGAGCATCATGGCTGAGAGAGAGAGAGAGAGAGAGAGAGAGAGAGAGAGAGAGCGCTTACACAGGAAAAGGATTGCAGCCACATAAAAGATCTGTGACTCCATAAAAGAAACAAAGGAAGGAGCCCTGGCCAGATGGCTTAGTTGGTTGGAGCCTCGTTCCAGACACCAAAAGGTTGCCGGTTTGATCCCCAGTCAGGGCATGCACAGGAGGCAACCGATGTTTCTCTCTCTCTCCTCCGATTTTTCTTTCTCTAAAATCAGTAAGAAAACATATCCTTGAGTAAGAATTAACACAAACAAAAAACACACAAATGAAAACATGGTCAACCTCAGATATAATCAAAGGAATGCAAATTAAAACCAGACACCAGGTTTCACCCATGGCACTGGCCCCACTTTATAAAGATGACAGTAACAGGTGGCAGAATGGGGAGGAGCGGGGCTCTGTCTGACATTGCTTTTGGGAACAGAAGCGATCCAAGTGTTGGGGGGTAATAGGGCAGCATGCGGTTAGTGCCCCCACATGTAGAAACTTCTCTAAGGAAACAATCAGCCAAGATGTACCTCCAGAAGGCGTTTACTGTGGCCTTGTTCACGATGGGTCAACCAGAGGGATAATCCAAACAGCCAGCAACAGGAGATGGACTAACGAAGCCCCTGCTATGCCAGGGAACGGTGCACGGCCATTAAAATGATGACTCTCCTCATTTCTTGATGTGGGGAGACGTTTATGACATGCAATTAATACAAAGAGAGACTATAAAGTAGGATGCAGCAAACACTATTAATTCCCTCATTCCTTGATGATGACGTGCCCACTCCCAGGTCGTAAATTAGGACTGGCCCGAAGCCAGTCACCACAACCCTGCTCGCCGCGGCCAGTCTGGCCAGTGAGACCTGAGGAGAAATTTGTTGGGGTCACTTCTGAAGAAAAAAGCAGAAGTGATTAGTTTTGCTGGCCTTGCATACGGACTCGGTGGCTGCAGCTGTCTTGGAACCTTGAGGAAAATGCCAAGAGTTTCGCACAGATTTTGGGCCTGTGAACTCATGAACCAAAGTCAGCAAACACTGGTCTTCTAGCTCCGTGAGAAAGTTTAGCCCCTGTTTGTTTACATTCAGAAAATAAAAATGATTCTGCTTTTTATTTTTTTTAATAAGCAAAATATTGGGCGCCAGGAAGTCGCTCCCTGCACTCAGGGAGCCTGAGGGAAGCCCTTGGCCACCTGTGGGCAGGCGGGAGCACAGACTCAGACAGCAACGGAGGCTGGGCTTGACCCACCCAGGTCCCCTCCAAACACTGTGATTCCAACTGAGGAAGGAGGTGGGCAGACATCCTAGGGAAACTCAGAAACTCGGCTTTGCTAGAAGAGGTGGACCGTGCGAAGTCCCAGGAGGAGGCTGGGACTCCCCCTCCACAGTCCTCTCCCTCCCACCCACTCCCACAGCCCGAAGGCTCTGCCTCTCCCTCTGGGCTTTGAGGCTGGAACCCCTGACCGTGGCATGCCCCTCCGCTCTCAGGATGCCCCCTGACCTTGGCATGCCCCTCCGCTGCCAGGACGCCCCCCTGACCGTGGCATGCCCCTCCGCTCCCAGGATTTCCCCTGACCTTGGCATGCCCCTCAGCTCCCAGGATGCCCCCCTGACCTTGGCATGCCCCTCAGCTCCCAGGACGCGGGGCCTCACACCCTGAGGTCAGGCCTCCCGGCCTCTGCCTTCAGCCGCTCTGCCAAGCTGGTTCTCAGGGCAGATGACCAGATGACCGGAGGAAGGGCTGCGTGCGTGCGCCAGGATGATCTGGGGGTGCGGGCCTGAGGCCCCAGGACAGCGGGCAGCTGCAGGGTCTGCAGGTGGCGCTGACGGTTGGGCAGCACCTGTATTGGCCGTAAACACAGGTTTATAACAAGCAACGCTGCCATCTCTTCTCACAACAAACCCGGGATTACCTCCGTGAAAGTGACCCTGGGGAAGCAGAGGAGAGGGAAGAAGGCGGCAGGGGACGGAGGGGCAATGACTCCAGGACGGTGCTGACTCTCACCAGGCAGCGGCCCCGCCCCCGCGCTGAGGGGACACAGGCTGTCACAGCCAGAATCCTCCCGGGTGCCGGGTGCCATTCTTAGCCACTGGCACGTTAGCTGATCTGATGTTCGCCGGTGGCAGTGCCACCAGACAGGACCAGAGAAGCATGGCCTGGGAGGAGCGGGCAGAGGCGGCACCAGGACAGGACCCCTTAAGGGGCGGGGAGCCTGGGCATCACCGTGGTTCATGCCAGCGCTCACTCCCATGAGGAACCTGGGGATCGCTATGTCACCCCTTCCTGTGCCTTTAGAGCAGGGAGGCCGGTCTGGGCAGCTTGCTGTCCCCAGTGACTCCAGTTTCTTGTCTCTCTCCCTTTCCTGCCTCCTCCTCCCTTGGGCCTCCTTCTCTCTGAATGATGATGCCCAAGCCATCTGCCTGAGCCTCGGTTTTCCCATAGAAATAACAGGTGCCAGTCAATGCCGCCCACCCCCTCCCAGGGAGCACCTTTGCTCTTCCCTGCCTGGGGTAGGGGTCCAGACCCTGCCCTTATTCTTTTTTATTTTTATCGATTTCAGAGAGGAAGGGAGCGGGAGAGATAGAAACATCAATGATGAGAGAATCATTGATCGACTGCCTCCTGTGCGCCCCCTACTAGGGATTGAGCCCGCAACCCAGGCATGTGCCCTTGACCAGTATCGAACCCAGGACCCTTCAGTCCGAAGGCTGACGCTCTATCCATTGAGCCAAACCAACTAGGGCAAGACCCTGCCCTTATTCTCTGTGGGCTCTACTCCCGCCTCAGCTTCCTCATCCTTACAACAGGACAGCAGCCCCGTCTGCCCGCCTCACAGGGCTGGTGTGAGGCCTGGGAACGCGGTTAGGGAGGCTATGGCTGGGCTGGGTCCCAGGGCTTCTGGCCCTTCTCCCAAGCTCAGATGGCTGCCTTCCCTGCACCATTAACACCCTGACCAGGAAGTGGTGGAAATATTTCGGCCATAGGTGAGGCCTAGCGACCCTGCAAGCTGCCAATGGCACATTCCTCCTGGTCGCCACCCACACCTGCCAGGGGCCCTGAGGCTGCTGCCGGATTCTTTCCTTGTA